GAAAGAAAGAAAGAAAGAAAGAAAGAAAGAAAGAAAGAAAGAAAGAAAGAAAGGAGGGAGGGAGGGAGGGAGGGAGGGAGGAAGGAAGGAAGGAAGGAAGGAAGGATAGATCTACAGCCTCACAGACGGACTCACCACCCTTTAGTTGAGTGTGTATCTCCTTGGTTTCTTACTAACCTAAACTAAAAGGAACTCAACTCATTTTCCTTGGGGTTTCTAAGATCATGACACAACCTCCTTTCTACAAAGGTATGTGCAGTTTGGTTTAAATACTTGCCTTCAACCTGGCTGGTATCCGAGCATGGTTTCCTCTTTGACTCTGAGTTCCCAGTCTTCTCGTCATCATCCATGAGAGGAATATAGTCTGTTTTTCCAACAGTTTCCCCTACAACATCATCATAGGCCTCTGCCTCCAGGGTGGCCATGAAGTCGCACTTGATCTCTTCCTCAATTTCTGGAGGTGGCTCCGTTAACGCATCTGCAAGACTGAGGTCAGCCATTCTGCACTGCTACAATTGCCTGTTGAGGGGACAGAGAAGTTTCATAGGATGAGCACTCCACATGGAAAACATTTGTTTCTATAAATGCTCAACAGTTTTTTGAAACAAACAAACAAAAAACAATAAGGGCCAGGGATGTAGCTCAGCAGCACTGCGCCTGCCTTGTAAACACTAAGTCCTGAGTTCAATCCCTGGTACCAAAAAACCAACCAAACAAAAAAGAATCAATACTTAAAATATGATAGCTAGATGGTGCTTTTTTATTTGAAAGATAAGAAAAAATAAAGGTCTTGGGGAAAAAATAAGAACCAAGACACATTATGTAAAGGTACAAGATTCCAGCGATGAATATATAACTGCACTGTATATCTAAAATGTACCAATAAACGTTAATGAAAAAAAAAGGAAAAAATAAAGCTCAGAAATGAACTGACTTGCCCAAGATAAGTCATTGCTATTCACTTTTTCTCACATTTCTGGAAGGTAGACAAAACAAGTGCCATTTTGTCCTTTTTATTAATAAAGTGCAAAAAAATCAACTTATTCACAGAAACAGACATTTAAATAATGTCTTTTGACCTCAAGCCTCACAGTCTGTTAACTATCCTATACAGTACATCTTCATTGCTAAGTCACACGCCAAACTGTTCTTAAAACAATATATAAAATGAGTCAGGTTAGTCAATAAAAAATATTACATTTTTAATAAATGAAACTGCTTGGGAGGGTGCAGATTGTACCCAAGACCTTCATATTGAGCTACATCTCCAGTCTTTTTTTATTTTGACACAGAGATTTACTAAATTGCTAAGTTGTCCAGGCTGGGCTTGAACTTGAAATCCTTCTGCCTCGGCCTCCCAGACTGCTGGGACTACAAGTGTGCAGTACCCTGCACGGTGAAATAACCTTTCTTGAACGAAGACTGAAATAGGCTTTTGAAAGTCTAAGTTGATAGAAACTCCAAGAGATAAGCTGACATATTACCTATACTGCTAACTTAAGTCAAACAGGAAACTTTATGGCTACTATTTGTATTTGACTAGCAATCTATTCTTCCCAATCTCCCTTTCATATAAATCAATCCCCACAGGGCCCAGAATTTAGCTCAGTGGTGCCACCGCCTGGCTCGAAAGTCCAAGGTCCCGAGTTCAATCACAGGTACAAAAAAATAATAATAATAATCCCCATCACCCCAGGTTAGAACTAGAGGTGGAGCAATCAGACCACAATAAAATAAATGAGACAGGACCATTTTGTGACAGCTACAGATCTTTTTCAATCATTTTATAATTTCCCCCATAGGGCTAAGATGGGAGGTGACCACAATTACCAACATGCAAAAAACAAATATTGCAGTACCCTAAAACATCAGAAGTCATCCCACCCCAGTACCCAAATGCACCACTACAAGGCTTTGCTGTATGTTTCAATGTACAAAGTATGAGAGGCAGCATGAGGGATTAAGTGCCAATATACAAACTGACTGTACCAGCTACCAAATTCTCCACAAAACAAAGTACAGAGGGGAAAAGTAAGCCCAGGAGTGAGGTGGACTTCTTGTAGGCAGGTGTCTAGAATGAAAAAGAGAACAATTCTTCCAAATTGGGGGAGGCTGGGAAGATTTGTCCCTCTCTGTACGTGACTGGGTGAAAATATCCTTTACATATTCTTTATACTGTATGAGGGGGGAAAATACCAAGATTTGGAAAGATGCTTGCAGGGGACTGTAATAGTGATCATGCCCAAAGCAGCTGAGAAGAGTTAACCCCACAACTGGCTTGTTTATAAAAGTGACCAGGCCAAAGCCAATGTGCCAGGTCAGAGTAACTTGCACCCAAATTCCCTTCCCACAACTAAAACCTTCAGACTAAAAGGACAATGTTCTATTTATAACGGTGTATTTTTGTATATTCTGTTCCTAATTTGAGAATCGTTTGTCTTGTCCTTTACAAGCCTTGTTTACATTCATTTCCATAGAAACCACTTGTAGTTGCCTTTAACCCAATTGATTGCCAATAAAAGTCAGTGCCTGGGACTGGCCCATGCCCTTGTCAGTTGCACCGGCATTGGTCATCCTGGCACCCAGCTTTCTCTCCTAGTTCTGTGTCTTCTTGTATTTATTTCTCAGGCCTGCATCACACACTGGGCAGGTAGGGACTAGAGATTTACTGCAGGAGTCTCTGGCAGATATTAAATACTGAATTTATTAGACTACTGTTAATAGTTTATACCTAGATGTCTCCCTCAAAGCCTCATGCACTCACAGATGGGGCTTTTGGGAGGTGATTGGTATCACAAGGGTATTACTCAGCAGTGGATTAGTAGACTGATGAGTTTATAGCTAAATGTGATTGAGGAGGTGAAGCCTGGTCAGAAGAGCTGGGTCACTTGGGCCATGGTCTATCTCCCCGCATTCCTCCCTTGATCCCTCTCCTTCCTGTCTGCCATGCCATGGGCTGCTTCTCTTCTGCCAGGCCACACTGCACTGGAGCCAGCAGACTATGCACTGAACCCTCTACAATCTGTAGCCAAAATAAACCTTTCCTCCTTTAAACTGTGTGCGTCAGGCATTGTGTATCAGCAATGAGGAAAGTAAAACAACTTCCAAATAAAATATTTTCAAAAATCTTAATAATAAATTTGAGCCTTCCTTCGTATACCTAATGTTTAAATATCAGGTTTCCTATTTGAAATGGCTACTTTGACTCCTGACCTAGAACTTTCCATGATTGGACAGGGTATAACTCAGTGCTGGAGCCATTACTCAATGAGCTGTTGGCCTGGGTTCAATCCCCAATACTGAAAAACTAATTAATTAATTGATGATCTTTCAAATTCTAGGTAATTCCATCATATGAAAAAGGGTAGAAAGAATTACTTGATTCATTTTCTAAAAACAAACGTGTTGTTAAAATTTCACGGGATCTTGACTTCCTAAAATCTCATCTTTTTTCATGACTAGCATTTCAAAATAGTGAAACTTGCGTCTTATATTCTGAGGGTAAATGCACTATCACCGAGCTGCACACCAGCCCTATTTATTTTTAGAGACAGGGTCTCACTAATTTGTCCAGGCTACGTGGGTTTGTAATCCTCCTGCCTCAGCCTCTGGAGTAGCTCAGATTACACACATGTGCCACCACATCCACCTTATACTTTCTATTTGATTAAAATCATTCAGAGTTAGCTGTGCTCTCATGTCATTGTAGTGCTATACCTGCAATTTGATTAAATTCATTGAGGCATCTGTGCTCTCGTGTTCACTGCAACATTACTCAGAACAGTCAAGCTAAGGAAACAACCTAAGCATCTGGCAATGAATTTTATGGTTTGGATCTTTCCCTTGAGGTCCATGTGTTCTGAGCTTGTTCCCCACCTCAGTATGCTGGGAGGAGGTGCAGCCTTTAGCAGTGGCTTAGTGGGAGGTCTTCACAGGTCATACAAGTGTGTGCTTGAAGGGGGTAATAGAAGCCCAGACTCATCCTTTCTATTTCTCACTTCATGACCCAGAAGTGAACAACTGTGCTCTGCCACCTCCCCTGCCCTGGATGTGCTGCTGCCACAGACCCAAAACAATAGGCATGAACCTCTAAAATGGTGAGCCAAAATATAGCTTTCAGGCCGGGGATTTGGCTCAGTGGTTCCACAGTCTGTCTTGCAAGCATAAGGGCCTGAGTTTGATCCCCAGTACCACAAAAACAAAAACAAAAAAGCAAAATACAGCTTTTCTCTGTATAAACTGATTCTCTCAGGTACTTATTACCATAATGGAAAACTAACACAGTAGACAGATTAAAAGGTTGTTCATATACGTGTGCAGTGGAATATTATCCAGCCTTTGAAAAGGAGAACCTGCCATTTGCAGCAACGTGGATGAACCTGGAGATTATGCTATGTATAAAAACACCAGACACAGAAAAGAAAATACTTCATGATTCACTTATTATGGAAATACTTATTAGATGAAGAAAATACTGTTTTGTTTGGGAAGACAGGGTCTCTCTATGTTCAGTAATTCAGGCCAGGCCCTAATTCATGGCGATACACCTGCCTGAGCCTCCTAAGTGCTGGGATTATACAGGTGTACACCACCCTACCTGGCCAGATTGAGAAGGTATTAGATTTGCTTATATGTGGAATCTAATAAAGCTGAATACATACACAGAAGAATAATGCTTGCCAGGAGAGGAACAATGAGGTAAAACAAGATATACCAACCCAAAGGTGGAAAGCAGCAGGATGTGTTAAGTACAGACACCCAGTGGACAGCATGACAACAGTTAAAAACACTGCATTGTGTACAGGAGATTTGCTATGTAAACAGATTTCAGGGGTTCACTACCACATACACAGACATACGCTCCCTATGTGAGAAGATGGGTTTGTCAATTTGCTTGACTCTAATAACAATCATTTCACTAAGTGTATGCACACACTAAAAATATACGCAGTTTTGGGGCTGGAGATTTAGCTCAGTGGTGCTGCCACCTGCCGCACAAGGTCCCAAGTTCCATCCCTGGTACCGAAGAAAATAAAAATTAAGTAAATAAATATATAAATATATACATGTTTTAAATCAGTCTAATAAAACCATTGTTTTAGGTCAGTAATTATCTTTCAAGAAATACACAAAGCATCATTCATAATTAAATTTACAGCCTATTAAAACCTTCCTCTGGACAGCCAACACACTTTAGTTTCAAACAGCCAAGTAGTAAACTGATTCCCTGTCTCACCTTGATCCTGAACTTCCTAGCCCTCAAAATTGCAAGCAAAAAAAGCTGGGCATGGGCCAGGGATTTAGCTCAGTGGTTCTACTGCCTGCATCGGAAGCACAAGGTCCCGAGTTTGATCCCCAGTACCAAAACAGGAAAAAAAAACTGGTATGGGATTAGACAAAACTGTCAAGATCAGGCATCCAACACACTGGAAATCAACAAACTGCAGAGCAGAACTGAGCAGTTTTTCATTCTCCAGCTCCACCTCTGTACTGGATGGGACCCGTGAGAATCCAAGGCG